TTTTGCGAGATTACCTAATCCATGTTCCTACATTGATGTGTATGTTTCAGGTTTAATAGAAATCTAGAACGTTGAATGTGACAAGTCACTTAGGCAATATTATATCGGAAAATTCTGCTCAAACAGGGGCTGTCAGTCAGCTCCTGATTTGTCCAAGGCCCCTGTCAGTGTAGTGCCTCCCTATTATATCAGGGGAGATGCTAGATCCGTCCAGGGAGCTGAAATGGCGCCCTCCCCTATTTGGACAGGGCCTACAGATTTATCCTTACATCAAACAAATTATTGCTTCTGTATCCAATTCATTGACAACACGTCGAATATGCAGTATTACACCATGTCCTACAAGTATTAACCATGTCAATTGCTCCCTGCAAAGCAAGTCATTCAAGTTCAAACATTTTAGGGTGAGTTATCAAATCTAGCCCTCTTTTGGTGTCAATTAAAATCTATAAGCACCCGTTTGGGTCCCACTATTTCACATTATAATGAGAGGAATATTAATTTTTTTTTTGGAGAATGTGTGGTTATAAAATAAGAAAAAAAATTTAGATTTACGTATAATATTATACACACTTCGTCCCATTTATATAGATTGATTTTATTTTTCACATGGATTAAGAAAGTCGTATTTAATGTTATTAAAAAAGTAATTTTTTTCTAAATATTTTTTTAATTACCCTTATTTGTATTTGTACCATTTCGAGATTAAGTGAGAGAAATTGGTTATCATGCAAATTAAATAACGATATGTTAGTAAACAAAACAAAACAAAAGATTTTCTATAAGAAAAAAAAAAGATTATATTATTGAGACATGAAATAAGGAAAGTCGACCCATATAAATGGGATGGAGGGAGTATTATTGAAGAACGTATAGTTAATAAGAAAAGACAAAAAATGAATTATAATTTAAAGAGAGAAAAAATAAATTTTAATCTAAGTCAAAGTCAAAATTTATTTCAACCACATTTTATGAGTCTCAAAACTTTTTAAACACACTTCATTAATTTCTATCGAAATCTATTAAAAATCTAATTTAAATTTATTTTTTCTTTTTACTATTCAAAAATTTAATTCTCACCAAGAAACAGAACGACCAAACTGTGTGGTATTTAACACATACAACCAAAGTAAATGAACCGTACCATGTTGACAGCGTGAGCAATAAATACAATATTAAATTATAGTAGTGGTTTTTACATCATAGCATAAACATTGCAAGACCCTTCGTTCCAAGATTCAGCCATGGTCCCTCTCAAAGTTGCAGCACTGATTTTTTACATTCTAAGCAGTTTTCTTACAACCTCAAAATCTGTCGATGAATTCTCCTACAATGGATTTCGATCGGCAAATCTGAGCCTCGATGGCATGGCAAAGATCACTCCCAACGGTCTCTTGAAACTAAGCAATACCACCACACGAGAGAAAGGTCACGCCTTCTATCCTGATCCTATTGAATTCAAGAATTCCTCTAATGCCGCGGCTTCTTCCTTTTCTTCATACTCTGTTTTTGCAATGGTGTCTGGCTATCAAGAATTGGGCGGTCCGGGAATTATTTTCGTGATTTCGCCAAGCAAAAACTTTGAAAGAGCCAATCCAGCATTATACCTTGGCCTTTTCAATAAAACCAACGACGGCAATTCTTCCAACCATATATTTGGAGTGGAACTTGATACATTCAAGAATGATGAAGTTGAAGATATCGATGATAACCATGTTGGGATTGATATTAATGGACTGAAATCCGTATCTTCAAAGACATCAGGGTATTGGGATAATCCGGATTTGTTTCGTAACTTGAAACTTAACAGTGGTCATCCGATGCAACTTTGGGTTGAATATGATGGTATAGAGAAGCAAATCTCTGTTACATTAGCTCCACTGCATAATTCCAAGCCAAATAGAACTCTTTTGCAGATATCCTATGATTTATCATCGGTCTTAAAACCAACCATGTTTGTTGGCTTTTCCTCAGCCACAGGGCCTATACAAATAGCTACCCATTATGTTCTTGGATGGAGTTTCAAGATAAATGGTATGGCTCAACCACTTGATCTCTCTCGACTTCCTAAACCACCTCGTACAGGTCCCAAGAAGATATCGAAGGTTTTGACGGTGTATGTGCCGGTGATTGTTGTGGTTTCAGTAACACTAGCCATATGGGGAGTAGTTTGCTATGTGAATAGGCGGAGGAAATTTGCTGAAGTGCTTGAAGAGTGGGAGCGTGATTACTCTCCTCAGAGGTTCAAATTTAAAGATTTGTATAAGGCCACTAAAGGGTTTAAAGATAAGGAGATACTGGGCAGGGGAGGATTTGGAAAAGTATACAAAGGTGTGATGCCTAGATCTAAAGTTGAAATTGCTGTTAAGAGGGTGTCTCACGAATCAAGACAAGGGATGAGAGAATTTGTGGCAGAAATTGCGAGCATGGGTCGACTACGCCACCGGAATTTGGTGCCACTATTGGGATACTGCAGGCGTAAAAGTGAACTTCTTTTGGTCTATGAATACATGTCCAATGGAAGCCTAGACAAGTTCCTTGACAACCAACCAAAGGTTACCCTCAATTGGGACCAAAGATTTCGAGTCATCAAAGGCGTAGCATCCGGACTACTTTACCTACACGAAGAATGGGAACAAGTCGTGATCCATAGAGACATAAAGGCGAGTAACGTATTGTTAGACGGGGAATTAAACGGACGATTAGGCGATTTTGGGCTTGCAAGATTGTACGATCATGGATCAGATCACCAGACGACTCACGTGGTTGGGACACTGGGGTACCTTGCCCCAGAGCAAAATAGAACTGGGAAGGCCACAACAAGCACTGATGTTTATGCTTTCGGGGCATTTTTGCTTGAGGTTGCATGCGGGAGAAGGCCAATTGATCCCAAAGCTGCCCCTCACGATCTAATTTTGGTAGATCAAGTGTTTTCCTACTGGAATCTAGGTGACATTTTCCAGGCAGTCGACCCAAATTTAGGTAAAAATTACGTAATAGAGGAGATGGAAGTAGTATTAAAACTTGGCTTGCTATGTTCTCATTCAGATCCGAAATTTAGGCCTAGTATGCGTCAAGTTATGCTGTATCTTGAAGGCGCGTTGGCTCCGCCAGAATTGCCTTCAAGTGGCCTAAAATTTGAACAACATGATGAAGGGTGCGACAATATCCCCTTGTGGTCATATCCTTCTTCTTCTGCTCAAACAGTATTTACGCAAACTTCCTCGGTCACAAATTGTCTCTCTGGAGGCAGATGAAAACATTGATCAGTCTGTGATATTTCGAGTTCTCATTACTAACGAAATCCAAATGATCTCTAGATTAGTCAAAAGATCATTTCAGGGTGGCTGGAA